GCAGATAATTGTTTTGCCTTCAGTTTCCAGCAAAATATCTAAAGCTAGGTTTTTATATATGCAAATGTGTGTAAATCGCACGAATTCCCGCACCTGCAGGAAAACTGCATTTGCTTTTTTAGCAGGCACCCAGGGATGCCATTAATTCTCTATGGCACCCAACGCATCTGAAAATGCAGTGCGTCAAATCAATGGGTTGCTGTGCCCATGCAAGCGCAAGCCACATCAATCACTTAGGTGTGAACCTAGCCCTAGGGAATGAATGGTACTACATGTGTGCATTTTTTTTTTTTTTTTTTTTTTTAAACACGTTCTCATTTAAAAAACATTACAGAAACATTCCAAGCAACTGACTGTAAAGTTTGGCCAGTTGACTAACTGATGCCAACATCATTCCTGTAGATTACACTTCACATTCAGAACAGACTAACAGATAAAGGAGATCAGTGTGTTTTACTGACCTACTTTGTGTTAAATCTGCCAGATGCTGGTACTGTTATTCTTTTGACCATTTTATTTGCGTGTTTTAGACATATATTTTTCTTAAAGGTTGGACAAATATATTTTCTATTCAATGGTACATTGTTAAAGCCTATGTCTCAGCAAAATTGTAAAACAATATAAGAGATCTCTACAATACATGGAGATTTTTTTCCATGTTTTTTTCTCTAAAAACAGTGAGTACAGAAATATTTTCTGAATGAATGGCAAAACGTTCTCTGGATGAAGTGGAGAGTGTGACGTTACCACCCCGCCGCTCCACCGGATCCATTTGGGGAACATGTTGCATTCGTTTAGAGAATGCACCACATTCTCTGAATGACACCCGTGTTGAGCAGGTGACCTGTGTTCAGAATGCAGTAGGGCAGCAGCTCAGTACGGGATCAAGAAGTAAGTGGAGATCACTGTGATAGCAGTAAAACATAAACACTGCTGCACAGTACTTAGAAAATGTGTATCGTGAAAATATGCACAAATGAAAACTAAAATACACAAGTACCAGAATACACAATAAAGCAAGAAACAAAGGGATGAACAAAACTGTCTGTGGTTTTATTTTTAGAGACACTTTGAGGATTAAACGGAACATACAAAAAACAAATAATTGTCCACGTGTACTTGATGTCATCTGTGCCACTATGAACTCTCCAAAAATGCTAATCTTCTTCAAATAATATAAATACTTGAAGTGTCTTTCAGAACTGAAAAACAATTATCCACTCAAGTGTCCATGTGTACTACTTGATTTCTCCAAAAATGATCATCTTTAAAACACTTCTCATATCACTTTAATTTCTCCATAAATCCCCTGTGACCTTCAATGTATAAATCATTTACAGTTGTTAGTCCCATCACCAACATACATATACTGTCACCTTTTGACCAGCCCTAACTAGTTGGGTCATTTGCATCTTCCCCTTTAATTGGGGATCTCATAAGCCACAACAGCAACCTGACTCAAAACGGAGGTGCTGAAAGTGTGCGGGTGGCCATCTTGTTGGAGGTTATCCCATTGTAAAAGCCCTAAACTACTTTTTAAGTGAAGTATAAGAAGTGTAATAAAAAGAATACATTTTTAGCAGAGAGCACTGTATACTTTTAGGTCTGGTCACAAGATGAAAGTATATGTTTGGGATTGGCACCTGTGGATAATTTATACATTTAACCAGTGGCCACCTGACTTATGGCCAAATGGCGGCCGGGCAACACTCCGTCCCTCCGGGAGGATACCATATGGCTTCCTTCTCAGAATGCGCATGCCCGCAGGGCTGCGCTGTGGCGTGATCTGTCACCGGCCATGTACATCGGACACGGCCTATGACAGATCTGTGTACCAGCTTCGTTGCCAGTACCATGTGACCTGCTGTGACATGGCAGGTCACATAACAGTTGTATACAACTGATGGCTTCCTTTCATGACAGCCATTGTATACAAGTGTCTAGCTGTGAATGGTCACGTCGATGACATGCACTGGCTGGGCCAATCACAGCCCATCTGTCATGTGATTAGCCGTGGCCAATCACAGCTAATCACCAAAAAAAATTGAATCGATTTCATTCAGTTAAATGCTTGCTTATAGCAAAGCTATAATCAATCAAATTGTGTAAATAAAAATACTGATCACTTGTTACTATGGTAACATTATACTACTTTGGTCATAGTACAATATGAAAAAAAAATCTTAAAAGAATTTTACAAAAATTGTTTTTTTTTTTTCGTACTGTCAGCAGTCAGTGTCCCTGATCACCGCTGCACCAATTATATAATGACGCTGGTGACAGTAGGTAAAAAAAAAAAAAAAAAAAAAAAAAAAAAAAAATTTTTTTTATTCATTTTCCGAAAAATTCCAACTTCAAAAAACTCGCCATGCCTCTAATGAAATATGCCAGACTGTCTACTTTGCAAATAGGGGTCATTTGGGGGATATCTGTACTGTTCTGACATTTTTGGGCCTCAAGAAATTAGATTGGCTGTCAGTATTTCAGTATTTATTATTTAGTCTGTAGGAAAGGTTATAGAGTTCACAAACTATGGGATATATCTGAAAATTGATCAATCCTGATTTGGGTTATTTTCACCAAAGAAATGTAGCAGAATACATCTTGGCCTAAATTTATGAAGAACATTTATTTATTTGCAAACTTTTATAACAGAAACAAAGAAAAACGTTTTTTTTTTTCCCCCCCAAAACCTTTGGTCTTTTTTTGTTAATTTTGTTAATAAAATGAAAACCCCCAGCGGTGATTAAATACCACCAAAAGAAAGTGATGTGAGAAGAAGTGTTTTTGAAGATTAACATTTTTGGAGAAATCAAGTGGTACATATGGATATTTTTTTTCAATTCTGAGAGACCCTTCAAGTATTTATGATATTATTGAAGATTAGCATTTTTGGAGAGCTTATAGTGGTGCACACAAATGATATCAACTACACATGGATAATTATTTGTGGTTTTATTTTTAGAGAAACTTTTAAGGATTTAACCACTAGCCTACTGGGCACTTATACCCTCTTCCTGCCTAGGCCAATTTCCAGCTCTCAGCGCTGTAGCACTTTGAATGCAAATTGTGCGGTCGGTCATACAACACTGTACCCATATGAAATTTTTATATAATTTTTTGTGATGGAACTTTATTTTGGTGGTATTTAATCACCTCTGGGTTTTTTATTTTTTCTTAAACCAAAAACCACTGAAGATTTTGAAGAAAAAAAAAAAAAGTTTTTTTCTTATTTTTGTTATAAAATTTTGTAAAGTGATTTTTTTCTGCTTCACTGATATGCGCTAATGAGGCTACAGTGATGGGCACTGATAGGCTACAGTGATGGGCATTGACAAGGAGGCACTGGTAGGTGGCACTGATGGGCATTGGCAGGCATCACTGATGGGCACTGGCTGGCAGCACTGATACATGGCACTGGCTGGCAGCACTGTTAGGCGGCACTGACTGGCGGCACTGACTGGCAGTGATGGGTGGCACTGATGGGCACTGCCACGAGGCACTGATGAGCACTGACAGGTGGTACTGCTGGGGCTACACTGATCATCAGTGCTCTGATGATCAGTGTAGATGTCCCCTCTGCGGAAAGCTGATTACCGGCTCTCGTCTCGAGCTGTCAGTGTGACAGCTCGAGAAGAGAGAGAAATGCCGATAACCGGCATTTCCCTGTTTACATGTGATCAGCTGTGATTGGACACAGCTGATCACATGACTGAGCCGACATCTTCGGCCCTTTCCATGATCGGTGATCCGCTGTGTCCGAGGGAATATAAAAATCACCCCCTTTTTATGTCAGCCAGCCCCAAACTTCCCTTCCCAACCATCTTCACGTATTGGGTCTATATAGAGAAGCAAGTAATGGGATACACACCATTACACGTAACTAATGGGGCTCCTTCTTACAACCTTTCAAAACCTCTTGAATGGATACAGACAAAACCATTAGTGTATTTCCTCCTCCAATTTGTCAATTGGTGGTAGAGGGGGATGCCACTTCCCTTGCTTTGCTTCCTCTCTCCTCCTTTCCCACCGCTCATTCCTCCTCCGCCTTACTATATTACTACAGACTTTTATTCTTTCCTACTTGTTCCCTCCTTTTCTGAAGTCACTGCTATTCCCTTTTTTCCCTTTGCTCACAGCAACAGACACTGGCTAACAGTCCAACCCCTAGTCTCACCTAGAAGGAAATTCTTAAAGCTGAAGTCACTGTATGATCTTTATTGCATAATTATTGGTTCAGCTTGGATTAATGTAAGCATGCATATTTTCATACCTGAGGGAGCACTGTGGAAGGTGACATTCGCTATAATAGTCGCTGCTACTACAATGATTGCGGCAGTCTTCCGGGTCCTCTGCGGCCATTCACAAAATGCCTTGTGCTTTTATTTTTTTATTTTTTTTTTGAATGAATGAATACAAGGCAGTCTCTGATTGAACAAGATTGAGAAGCGAAGCAGCGATATCTTTTCATTGAAAAAATGTCATTGCTGAGCGAGTGATGGGTTCTAGGTGGACCAGTGTAACTAGGCAATAAAGATCATACCTATGCTTCAGCTTTAAAGGACTCTTGGAGCAGCCCCAACCATATCTTCAACAGTTGTTTTTAACCTCTTAGACATAAGGCACACAGGCCTTTACCAGAAGCTCCCATTTTACACCCACCCATTGATACTAGTTTGAAATGTGTACAACATCTTACCTGGATTTCTTCATAATTGATTTGTTTAAATATGTAGAGGTATATATTTGACTGTCGTTTTCCTGGGTAGGATACATCATTTGCTGAACCGTTTTATGCTTACTTTCTTCCAAGTCCTCTGTAGACCAACCCATATCACTTATTTTTCACCTTCCTAAACCATACAAATGTTTGGAAAATGAAAAGTGTTTTTTATCCATAGCATAGCATGGAGCCTGTGGCACCCCTTTTGGATTTAGTTTCAGCTTTAATCTCCTGACTTTAATACTTTTATATATATATTTTTTTTTTTTCTTAGATCATGGATCTGAAGTGGCTACTTTTCACAACCTTTCTAATTTTTGGGTTAGTAACAATAAAGGCACATGGCGGGGACCATCCACCACCACCACCACCACCACGATCATGATCATGACCATGACCACGATCACGACCACGACCATGATGATGGATTAGACATAGAAGATGATCTGGATGATATCGTTGAAGGTGAAGAGTCAAAATTGGATACCAGCACTCCACCTCCTGCTCCAAAGGTGGGTCCCTTCCTCAATTTAAAAAATAAAAAGTTGCATATTATTAAACATTCAAACTGACATTTGTATAACTTCAGGATAGTTACACAAATGGCATCTGTAAGCCATAGAAAAATGGAAAATTAATATATATTTTTTTCATTTTAGTCTAGGGTTCCTTAGGCTAGATATATGCATGCTGGAACAATTTTGTCACAGTAGCAGTAGTCCAGTATTTTAATGTACATGACCTGACCTTGTGTTTTACGTGTGTGTGTGTGTGTTGTGTGTGTGTGTGTGTGTGTGTGTGTGTGTAATATGAGTTTCATTAATTTCCTTTATTCACATTAGTGGTGATGTGGCTGCAGGTGTTATATCCATGTGCACTTTTGACAAGTCATGTACAGGGAATTCTACATTAAAAGTTTTCTAATGGTCATTCATTGCACACGTGGAAATCTGTTCAATGGGTGAATTAATTGGAATAAGAAGGAACTGTTCTTCTAATCAAATAAGAAGGGGTTACCTGGGTTTGGTTTATATAACAGGCAAAAATAATTGCTTTAGCTAGACCTAAGGAGGATTTATTGGAAGACAGAGAAGTCCCTGTAGCTTTGTTTAATGATAATCGTGTCACTAAGTTGAATTTCATTAAGTGACTGACATTCACCCATCCTTTATCGAAAACAGTTGCATGAAGGCCTTAGCCCTTGTTCACTCTGTACAGGCTGCTTGCGGGTGGGGAAATCACCTCTGTTCCCAACCAAATTGCTTTGCTGTTATGAGACGTGAGGCGCTGCCATTCATTCTGAATGCCACCCACACACATCTCAGCCAGCAGCGCATTTCCAGGTGTGGGAGCCACACCTGTTACCACGTTTTTAAAAGGGTTCATGCACATTTTTTGTGTGGAAATCACAGGCACGGCAGCCCATTTAAATGAATGGGCTGTTGTGTTTGCACAAGTGCAAACCAGGGCAAAAAAAATGATTGCTTTTTTCAAGCTGTAGCAACCCTTCGTTAGGGTTGGTTATCTCCCAGCTAATATAAACCAAATGTTATTAAAAGAATATGGGCTGTTGGTTATATGGTCATGTCATATAAATGTGGGTATAGCAGCTGCAGATACAGCAGGTAAAATAAGTATTGAACACGTCACCCATTTTTCTAGGTAAATATATTTTCTGCTATTGACAGGAAATGTTCACCACATGTCGGTAACAACCCATGCAATCCGTATCTTTGTATAAAGAAACAAAAAAAATTAAGTTCAGAAATAGTTATGTGTAATGAAATGGAATGACACAAGGAAAATGTATTGAATGCATGGAAAGCCAAGACACCAGCTGAAATCTATCAGTAATTACAAAGCTATCCTGCCCCTTGTCACATACTTATGGCATTGGTTACAGAAGGATTTCTAAACTTCTGAATGTTCCAGTGAACACTGTTGAGGCCATAATCCAGAAGTGGAAAGAACATCATTTTCACCATAAACCGGCTACGACCAGGTGCTCCATGCAAGATTTCTGACAGAGGAGTGAAAAAAAAATTATTGGAAGAGTTGTCCACTTATGGAGAGCTTCAGAAAGACCTGGAATTAGCAGGTATAATTGTTTCAAAGAAAAAAAATAAGTAATGCACTCAACCACCATGGCCTGTGTGCACGCTCAGCACCCAAGACTCTATTGCTGAAGAAAAAGTATGCTGAAGCTTGTTTAAAGTTTGCTGCACAACATTTAGAAAAGCCTGTGAAATACTGGGAGAATATTGTCAAATGAAAAATAAATTGAGCTCTTTGGATGCCATAATACACACCATGTTTGGAGATGAAATGGCAACGCACATCACCCCAAAAACACCATAGCAACAGTGTAGTTTGGAGGTGGGAGCATCATGGTGTGGGGCCATTTCCTCGCATACGGTAGTGGAATAAAAATCTGCTGCCATCTACCAGGATGATGATGAAACGAGGGTAGACATTTCAGCAAGACAATTATCCCAAACACAAAGCCAAGAAAACTCTCTATTGATTTCAAAGAAAATAAATCTGCTAGAATGGCCCAGCCAATCACCTGTCTTGAATCCAAAAAAAAAAAATCTATGGAAAGAACAATCAGAGTTCATAGAAGAGGCCCACAGAACCTTCAAGATTTGAAGACTGTGTGGAAGAATGGGCCACAATCACACCTGAGCAATGCATGCGACTAGTTACTCCATACAGGAGGCGTCTTGAAGCTGTCATTACCAGCAAAGGATTTTGTATGAAGTGTTAAATTTTGTCATTCCATTTTACTACACATAACTTAATTTCTAAACTTATTTGTTTTGTTTAGTTTTTTTTTTGGTATATATGGATTGCATGGATTGTTACTGACGTGGTGAAAATTCCATATCAATAGCACCTTTAGAAATATATTTACTGAGAAAAATAGTGTCATGTTCAATACTTCTTTTACCCGCTATACTTCAGAGTGAACAGTAAGACTAGGGAAATCCAATTTATGTACTAATAAGAGAACTTCTGTTAAAGATTTAACATATGTAATATAGTTCACATGGGGGTTCACTAATGATCAGTTTGTACAAATCTGATGGTCCAGCTGAATCTTGAGGACTGATTTACTAAAAGGCCATTTCAAGAAGAATATGGAAACAAAAACTGCCCAGTGTGGGCAAAAAAGTAGTTACTATGTTGGCAGATATCATATGAGCTGGAGATTCTAAGAAATCAATCCTTGATACCAAATGTCTTTAAAACATCAAGTTTATCAAGTATTGATACTTTGAAAGTGAAATTACGGTTTGGTTAGGACAGGGGTGGGCAAACGTTTTGACTTGAGGGCCGCAATGGGTTCATATATTGGACCTGGGGGCCAGACCAAGAGTAGATGAATGATGTGTATGTGTCATCCATAGTAAGTATAGTAATATTCCCCCATAGTAAGCATAGTATTAATCCCCCCCATATAGTAATTCATGCCCCATATAGTAATTCATGCCCCCATATAGTAATTCCCCCCATATAGTAATTCATCCCCCCTATAGTAATTCACCCCCCCTATAGTAATTCATCCCCCATATTAATTCATCCCCATATTAAGTTCCCCAAGTCCCCCCTGTGTCAATTCACTTACCTTTGCTCCGCGCGTTTCTCTCGCCGTGTTCCCGCGCCGTTCCGGTGTAGCATGAAAATCTGTCTCCTATGAGGATCTGTCCCCCTCGACGTATCTGCGCATGTGCCAGTTTCAGGCATTAGCAGCCGATCGGCGATCTCCGGCACATGCGCAGATACGTTGAGGGGGACAGATCCTCATAGGAGACAGATTTTCATGCTACACCGGTCTTCAGGGCGGACTGTGAGAGGAGCCTAGCGGGGAGCCTAGCTCCGCGGGCCAGATTAAAAGGTCCGCCGGGCCGTATACGGCCCGCGGGCCGTAGTTTGCCCATTGCTGGTCTAGGACAACTTACTTTGTGAGTTCAATTTGTGTAAACAACATGAATACACAACACAGACATGACATTCAAAAATAAATAAAAATCCACGTCCGGACACTTGTTAATATACTAGTATATAAGCAGCGTAACGCAGCAATATGCTGCCTAAGAGTATAACGCATACAGATCAAGGTAGCCCTTGTATACTAGTCTGTGATCCCATAAGGCCTAAAACAATTAAGGTACATTAATTCAAAGCTCAATAAGCATTAAATGGCATGAAACAATTTCCGTTATGGACCGGGCCCTGTGTGAGTCAGTGAGGCATTATAAACTGATGTCAAGTAAAGGGTTCAGTCCCATTCAATAAGTAAACAAGCCTCTAATTAGAACAAATGTCCCTGGTTATCCATTGGCTGATAATGAAAGCCACATTTGACATGTAAAGCATTCAAGTAAAGTACTGTGAATAGCATGGAGGTAGAGACATAGAATGCAGCAATAAAGTTGTAAAGAATATATATATTTTGTGGAAAGCATGATTCCAAGAATGTACGAAATGCTGTTTACACTGGACTTTGGGCTCCAAGTTTCTTCAGATCTCATGGACCTATATTGTAAAAAGGAGTGTCTCCAGTTATGTGCAACTCCGCAAGATGCGGCTCATACATTACCACCAATTCACTACCACTCCGCTAATCCTGTTGTCAAGTCATGAAGTAAAATAAGTGCTGCTATGGACCAATGGTAAAGGCCAAATTGGTCTCCGTAGGTTTGAATTGCTGCTACTGGCTGGATCATGTGGGTGCCGTGTCCCTCTGTGCTTCAGATTGGGTAACCGGGTGCCTTCACAGAGGCAATGGGCACCAACTCAGTGTGTTCCCAGATGGGAAGATTGTCATTTTGGTTACGGTGACAGCGCTTGTAATTAAGCCATAAAATATTCTGGCATATATCTACATTTACCTCATTCATTGTTTTTGTAATACCATTTCAAGAAGCAGCCTTAAAGTGGTAATAAACCCAATAACAAAGACTTATTAAATTGCAGTTCACCAATTCTTTGATGTGGTTGGCTCCATTAGTTTTTTTTTTTTTTTTTTTTTTGCTTTTTTCCATTGATTTTCACCTGGAGATCCAGCCAGTAAGTCTTATTTTTTTCAATTTGCTTTAACAGACCCAGCTGTCCAGACAAAGTAGCAGTTACTGGGTTGAGACAAAACATTTACTGACTGGGACACTTAAAATGGTCAGCTTTTAGTCATTTATGTAAATTCTTATACACAAAAGGGAAAAAACTGTTTGCTCTAACTGCTTAAAGTGTTAGCTAGATTTCAACTTCAATTTGTTAGTCAAGTCTAACACTATCCTCTCCCCAGACTGACAATGCTGCTGTCCAAAGGTGTCTGCTTTACTACTTCATCCAGAGGCATTCTATGTGAATGGTGTTACTGGCTCTATCATAGGTGAAATAAAGGATTCTTCCTTTCTTAAAAAAGAAAACGATTGGTAGGCTGCAGTATATTACATTTTTTTTTTGGGTTTATTACTTCCTTAATATCTCTAGCTCTGTTGTGCTGTATTGCATGGTTTCACTTTTTTTTTTTTTTTTTCTCCTCTCCTCTTCTTACAGGTTACATACAAAGCTCCAGTCCCAACTGGTGATGTTAATTTTGCAGAGTCATTTGACAAAGGCACATTGGAAGGGTAAGAATGTCTGTCTGCGCTGACTTTCAATGCTTGGCGTAAAACGTTATAGGCTGCTATTGTATATTCTGTTAATGCTCGTTATTCTCACAAATTAAAAATGCCAGTTTGAGAATACAGATAACATTTTTAAAATTTTGCAGTACATCTGTTAATGTTGCAGTTTTTATGATGTAAGGGGGGAAAAAATTGCTATGAAAGTGAAGGAGTTAAACATCTGTTTAACCAAAATGAGCTGGCCAGAGTCTTCTCTGTAATTTGTCAGTGTATGTTACCCTAGAAAATTAAAAGGCAATATGTGTTTGTGTTAATAAATAAATATATATATTTTATTTATATATATATATATATATATATATATATATATCTCAATCACACTTGTGCAATCCACAAGGTTTAGGAGTGTGTCTATGGGAATGTTTGACCATTCTTCTAGAAGTGCATTTGTGAGGTCAGGCACTAATGTCGGACGAGAAGGCCTGGCTTGCAGTCTCTGGTTTCATTCATCCCAAAGGTGTTCTATCGGGTTGAGGTCAGGCAGGCAAGTCAAGTTCCTCTATCCCAAACTCGCTCATCCATGTCTTTATGGACCTTGCTTTGTGCACTGGTGTGCAGTCATGTTGGAACAGGAAGGGGCCATCCGCAAACTGTTCCCACAAAGTTGGGAGCATGAAATTGTCCAAAATGTCTTGGTATGCTGACGCCTTAAGAGTTCCCTTCCCTGGAACTAAGCCCAACCCTGAGAGACAACCCCACACCATAATCCCCACCTCCGCCAAACTATACACTTGGCACAATGCAGTCAGGCAAGTATCGTTCTCCTAGCAACTGCCAAACCCAGACACGTCCGTTGGATTACCAAACCGAGAAACCTGATTCCTCACTCCAGAGAACACATCTCCACTGCTCTACAGTCCAGTAGCGGCATGCTTTACACCACTGCATCCAATGCTTTGCATTGCACTTGGTGATGTAAGGCTTGGATGCAGCTGCTTGGCCATGGAAACCCATTCCATGAAGATCTCTATGCACTGTTGTGCTAATCTGAAGGCTACATTAAGTTTGGAGGTCTTAAGCTATTGACTCTGCAGACAGTTGGTGACTTCTGCACACTATACGCTTCCATGTGCACTAACCCCGCTCTGTCATTTGATGTTCCCTACCAATTTGTGGCTGGGTTGCTGCTGTTCCCAGTGGCTTCCATTTTGTTATAATACCACTAACCGTTGACTGTGAATGTTTTGTAGCAAGGAAATTTCACGGATGGACTTATTGCACAGGTGGCAACCTATCGCGGTACCACGCTTTAATTCATTGAGCTCCTGAGAGCGACCCATTCTTTCACAAATGCTTGTAGAAGCAGTCTGCATACCTAGGTGCTTGATTTTATACACCTGTGGTCATGGAGGTGATTGGAACACCTGAATCCAATGATTTGGAGGGGCGTCTCAATACCTTTGGGCAATATAGTGTATATGTATGGAAAATGAATGTAATTCTTGTAGTACAATGGCATTTTAATGCAATGTGTTCACAAATACTTTTAATGGTGTACTAATGACACAAAAAAATTCTTCTGTAGGTGGATTCTCTCAAGAGCCAAGAAAGATGACACTGATGATGAGATAGCTAAATATGATGGTAGGAAACTTCTACTTTCTAAAGCCCCTTAAAAGTCGCAATTGTACCAATACAAAAGGAGGCTTCTTGCACAGGGCCATTCAGGGGACCATACAGGTTGCAGAGCCTGCTTAATGAAACTAAAAACTAAGACTGTAGACCCCCCCAAAAGAAACCCTGAAATTTTCAGGTTCTGCGTGCCTTGGGAGAGTCATAAGGCCCCATTCACATCTGCGTGGTGCATTTTTAAATTTTTTTTTGCATTTGTCGCACTGCAGCATAGTGCAGCCCATTCATTTGAATTGGCTGCCCTATGTGCATCAAACGTGCCAAAGTAATTCATGTACGTTTTTGGCAGTGAGCTTGCACATTTTTGGACAAGAAATTGTGTTTTCCACCCACATTTGGGGAGCCATTAAGAAACAATGGGAAATTAAGAGCTTTTTTTTTCCAAGTTTTTTTCCACATTTCCAAGAACGCACGAAGAAATGCATAATTCTGTGTGCGTTCCTAGAGTGTGTAAGGTGTGAATGGAGCCTAAATGTTTCATTACTTGTTCTCATACTATTGTATTTATCATACATTTTCAGAGTATCAACTAAACGTAGCAGTGATGGTTCTACCATGTTCTGCAAGGGGTTGGTAACTTTTGGGGGGACAACATTAAAACTAAAAAAAAAAATTAAGTTACATGTGATCATTTCTGTTTGAGGGCAAGCTGTTTATTACAAATAGAGTCCAGTTGTTCCGTAAAGAATTTTAAAAAGGGGTTGACTGCTTTAGTTATAAAGATCACATTAATATTTAAATGACACAGCTGACTCAACTGCTAATTGAAGTTTTAATAATATCCTTACATTTTGGATGCTAATTTTAGTAACTTTCTCATGTCTCAGATACTGAATAGTAAATATCGCTTTCGGAAAGTACCCTGAAGGGCTGTATTACATTTGTTTAAAAATAGATGACTTTTTTTGAAAGCTAAAAATATGCTCAAATAATTGTCCGTTTTAATTTTGAGTAGCTCTGGGACAATAGTTTTCATCATGTGGAAAGCACAGAAGTAGTATAATGGTTACCATATTACCTTAAGGACAATTCAAGGCGCACACACTAAAGCTATTGTTAACACTTTTTTTTCCTGTTTAGGCAAATGGGAAGTTGCTGAGATGAAAGAGACTAAACTCCCTGGGGACAAAGGACTTGTTCTGCTGTCAAGAGCCAAACACCATGCTATAGGCAGCAAACTTAAAAAGCCATTCATCTTTGATAAGAAACCTTTGATTGTTCAGTAAGTGCATCAAGTTTTTCCTGTCTATTACAATGATTAAAGTGACACTACATTTTTAAAAATCAATGCATTATGTCTAAATGTAAGTAGAATATACCTTCTATCTCCCATCATTTCTCAAATGCAAGCTTTATTCTGCTGTTCTCAAACTTGCTGTTCTGTGGTGGTTATGTTCATTCTCCATGCCCCCCTTGTGTGTGACCAGAAATACTGGCACTGCTCACTGTATACTAGTAGCAGTGAGATGCATCAGTGCGGGATAGAAAAAGTTCACGTGACAAAAAAAAGCTTGAAAACAGTCAGTGACTTATTTTAAAAAGATAAAGAAGAGCCATTGTATACTTGATATTTTAGAATGATTGATCTGATGTGTTTAGTGTCACTTAGTATTTTGAGTTGCAAATTTCCAACTGCAATGGTGTGCGACTCAAACAAGACCCAAAATCTTTAAAAAAAAAAAAATTGTTTTATGTAGGAAATTTGAAAGCAACATGCAACACATTTAAAAAAGGGTGCTAGTTGAGTTCAGAAACGAGAGAACTCCTGCGCTACCTGAATAAAGTAAAAAAAAAAAACAATGTGATAATAAGGTGCTGTTGCTAGCATTAAATTGTGTTCCCACAACAAAACCATAAAATAAATAAAATCAATGCTGCACTGCTAATACAATATAAGATGAATAAAACATGAGTGTAATGAAGTGAAATAAAGCATAACTAAATAATAAACAAAACATAAGACTGGAATGTCCATAAATGTGAAATCAACAGTAGTGGTTCAATAATAATTCTTTACAACTTATTGTGCTTCTTCATGTGGTCAGAAGCCAACCCATCAGAGGAAGTGCCATGAAACAGGCAGACGGTGTCCCCTCACAGAACTCACAGCTCAGAGCAATAGAATTGTGCTTTGTAATACCAAGTAGGCAAACGGCTCTTCACTCTCCCGATCATCAACCATATGAAAGTGGTCAGACACCTTTTAAAAACATCAAGCCAAAAACAGGGACTGGTCCCTTTTAAGGAGGTTGGAGGTCAGAGATTTCTACCATTCGGCGTCCAGCTTGAGCAGAGGGCTTCTGGGTGATCCCCGAATCCTGGCACACTCCACAGCCACCACACTGTCTCACTCAGTGGACTCTTTTATGTTTTGTTTATTAGTTATGCTTTATTTCACTTCATTACACTTATGTTTTATTCATCTTATATTGTATTAGCAGCACAGCATTGATTTTAATTTTATTTTTATTTATTTTGATCTGCTGTGTCATTGGACACAGCTGATCACGTGGTAAAAGGCCACTGTGATTGGCCTTTTACCACACGTGATCAGCTGTGTCCGTAGAACACAGCGATCGCGGGGGGTGCGCGGGAGGGCACGTTCTGAGAGGATATCATATGACATCCTCCCAGAACTGGCGGGCTGCAGTGTAGCCGTCATTTGGCTATCTGCGGTCGGCAAGTGGTTAAGTATTCAGAAAGTTGAGCATTTAAAAACAGAATTACATGTTTATTAGTGCACTGATACAAGCTGTCTAATCATGCTGCCTTATATTATATTGCACGATTGTGACGTAGATAGAAAATGTGGGGGGAGCACAATCTAAAATGCAGTTTTCACCAGAAAAGGATTATAGGGCAAGTCTTACAATGGTGATATTTACTCTGGTGACAACTGTCTAAGGGATAGATCTTATTTTGGAGAGATTCCTCGTGCTTTCTGTTGTGTCGACAGGACAGAAAGTTAGGTGGTATCCCTTTTAATTTATACTTTTTAACTATCCCCTTCTCTAGCCATAAGTTAGTGTTACTATACCCCGGACCCTGCATCCAATATATCTGGTCTCCCACAGTATACAGAACATGGAAATGCAATTTATTTTAGTAAATATAAACTGCTAAATACTTTGATCAGATGTTGGAGCAGGCTTGTGGCTTCTATTTGTGTCCAGCACTAGCTAAAGCTTGTAGGAGCAGTTTTCTTTCTGCTCTAGGAGGATTCAAATACCCTGACCTCTGTCTGGACAGTGCTGATTGGCCCTGTGCTGATCACATGTACTCTCCCAAGGAATAAAAAAAAAAACCTCTCTAGCAATACACACCTAACTGAGCATGCGCATGCCTTTTCCAAACAGCCTTTTTACACAGTGCAGAGCATTAACCCCTTAGGTTCCACAGTGAGTATAACACGTATGCTTTACTGCATATACAGACTGATTTTATTGTTGTGGGTTTAGTAACACTTTAAATGTAGCTTTGAAAAAAATTGTTCATGTATGCTATGCATGTGTCAAACCTGTTTACTTTGAATATTTCTTTTAATGATTGAAGTCCAGAGCCTGTCAAATAGAATAGCCATCCACCAATGCCTTTTTTAGTCTCCTTAATGGATAAAGAAAATAAGTACATTTGGTTATTTATTCAGATCCTTATTCTCGTCTATATATCTTACTGTTTGCCTATAACTTTGATACACTTGAAAAGTGAGTTCTGGTAAAAGGTGTACAGGTAAAAGATTTCCCAACACCTTTATTGTATTCATTGCATTTAGGTGTGATCATTTTTGCTTCAGATCAGTCTGAAGTGGATACCATTGCCCTGGTCACACTGGAGTATCAATGAGCAGGTAGCTGAAGAAGATTGCTAACTTTAAAACTGAATCTTGGAATAAACTTAACATAAAGAGTGAGTTAAAGCACCTGTGATGGTTTTTACATTTAAAGGTGCATACAAAAGAAGAATCTTCAGACTGTGTTACTAAACCCATAACCCTGCATTCACTATACCTGGTCTCCCAGAGTACACAGAACATGGAAATGCAACTTTAGTAAATATAAACTGCTAAATACTTTTTCTCATCAGCAGTTAGAGCAGTCTTGTGACTTCAGCTGAGCACTGGTTTTTTCCTGCTCTAGGAGGACGTGAAACCCCCTAACCCTCTGTCTGGATAGTGCTGATTTGGCCCTGTGCTGGTCACATGCACTCCAAAGAAAAAAAAAAAAAACCTCTCTAGCAATACACACTAAACTGAGCATATGTATGTGACTACTGATTCAGTCTGTATCAGGTGGTCATTTCAACAAGAGGAGGGGCAGAGAAGAAAGGAACAAACAGCCTTTTTACACAATCCAGAGGATTAACCCTTTAGGTTCCACAGTGAGTGCAACAAGCATGCTTTACTGCATATACCAACTGATTTTACTGTTGTGGGTTTAGTAACACTTTAAAGTGGTATTAAAGCCTCGTGTGTGGTGTTTTTTGTTTTTTAAATAACAAACATGTCATACCTACCTGCTCTGTGCAGTGGTTTTGCACAGAGCAGCCCCGATCCTCTTCTTCTCGGGTCCCCCGCTGGCACTCCTGGCTTCTCTCCCTCCAAGCAGTGCTTGGGGATTGGGGGACGCTTTGGGGGGCCACTGCACACAGGTTTTTCACCTTCATGCATATAGAATGCCTTTTAATCACTTTACACATTTCTGTGGTGGGAAAACAGGTCCTCCCTTTTGCTTTCAAGGACTACCGCTTCCTGCAGATTTTCTGCATCTTCTGGGAGTGTCCAATGCCCATGCTCTGAGATGCACACTTTTTGATTCCTTTTGCTGGACCTTTTGTTGCACAGTGACGTAGGAGGCTGGTAAGGCAGCAGTCTGACACACCTAAAAGTGTGTTAGATGCTGACATTTTTGCTTGACTGTAGCTCTTCAAAAAAGCAAAGTGATGGCTTGCTGCATGTTACAGAGGTAAAGTACGACTAAGGCAAAACATTTTCCATTTTTGATGGTAATCAAATGGAGAGTTTATAACCCCTGTCAATTATTTTCTCATGTGGTCCATTGTGGAGATTTCCCTGGACTTTGTCTCGTAGCCAAAACAAAGTGGAAATCCCTCCAAAGTTATGGAATCCCTGGTTGTCTGCAGTAGAAAATTTCCTGTCTATTCCTGTTCTAGTGATAACCCAAAATTTGCCATTTGGGTTGATCTCCGTACAGGGCGATAATGGTAAACCGAACAAATAGGGTGAACTAACGTGGACATAGGCAGCAATACAGTCCTGACAGGTGTACTAATACCTTTCCACTGTATCCGAAACTAAAACGCTTCAACCACTTCCCGCCGCAGCTACCGGCAAAGCGAAATACCCGTACGTCGCTCTGGCTGTACTAACACAAAGAGGCGCTTAAGTTTTTCACTGATCACTGTATTCCTGCCACTAGCGACATCAGATAGCATCAGTGTCAGTAAGCATCCCTTCCAGCCAGGGTCAGCTAGCGTTACATTGCCCGCACACTATCGGACTCGCGCTATAGGTCGCTGATCACCGCCATTACTACTTTAGTGTTTGTACGGATCAATATATTGATCATGAACAGAAGTATACTATGTATACTTCTCTTTTGTATAGTGTCCACAAAAATGCAGACTTAGCAGGATTGGCCCCGTTCGCTGCCAGCACTAGCGTTTAGCCCCTCTGCTGTTTTTCATGGAAGGTTTGTACCAGTTGATTGTGGGCCAAAGTAATTTAATACAAACAACAATATATGGCCGCCAACCCAAGTTCAGCTCTATCCAGATAATTCGCATGGAAACCTATCACGGTTTCTGAATTTAAAACTCTTTTGGGCCTAACCCTCAACATTGGCATTACAGAAAAGAATGAATTGCGGTCATGTTGATCCACAGAGACAATTTATCATATGCCTGTGTTCTCTGCTGTTACATATATGCCCAACATATACTCACCATGCCTCTTATCAAATTCCTTGGGGTGTCCCCTTTCAAAAAAGGGGTCATTTGGGGGGAGTGTTTGTACTATCCTAGCATTTTAAAGCCTCCGAAACTGTGATAGGTAGTAAGGAAGTGATATAAGGAAATATGGATTTGGGTTTTGGGGGCTTGTATGTAGCTAGGCTGCCAAAAAGTCTAACATGTGATATCCCCATACTCAGAACAAGTAGAAGAATGTGTTTTGAGGTGTTATTCCACATATACCCATATCATGCATGAGCAATATATCATTAAAGTGACAACTTTGTGTAAAAAAAAAAAAAAAAAAAAAAAAAAATTGTCATTCAAAAAATTTGTGGCAAAAAATAAAATTTTCTATGGACTCAACATGCTTCTCTGCAAAATCCTTGAGGTGTCTACTTTCCAAAAAGGGGTCATTTAGGTTGTACTGCCCTGGCATTTTAACACCTCAAGAAATGTGATAGGCAGTTAGAAAGTAAGAGCTACGCAAATTCCAGTATACCAGTTTGTAGACACTATAACTTTCACACATGCCAATTAATATACACTTTTTGAGATTTTTTTCTTTCTTTCTTTTTACCAAAGGCATGTAGCAGAATACATTTTAGCCTAAATTTATGACTAACTTTGAGTTCATTGGATATATTTTATAACCAGAAGTGAAAAATATTGTCTTGGTTTTTTTTTTTTGGTTTTTTTTCAAAATTTCGGTCTTTTTATGTTTATAGCACAGAGTAAAAACCGCAGAGGTGATCAAATACCACGAAAAGAGAGCTCTATTTGTGTGCAAAAAGGGCATAAATTTTGTTTGGGTACAGCATTGCACGACCCATGCAATTGCCATTTGAAATAGTGCAGTGCCAAAGAGCAAAAAATGGCCTGGTCAGGAGGGGGGGGGGAAATAAATCCTCAGGAGGGCAAGTGGTTCCCCTTTAAGGATTGGCACCTTTGGGGGGGGGAAGTTGTTATTCGAAATTAACAGGTCGCCTAGGCGGCGATCAGAAACAGAAGTTGTTAAGCCCACCCCCTTTCCCTAAGTCTGGGACTTCACAAAGTGCAGCGAGCACCTGTCCACAAGATTTGTCACAGCCAGGTGCCCACACTGAAGATGCCGGAAACACAGGGCAACCGGTGAAACTGGCGGGGGAGGGGACAGGAGGGGGGGGGGGGGGGACACCACAGGATCGAGGGACAAGTCAGTGTCCGTTTTTTTTTTTTTTTTTACAGATTTTGTAGCTGCTGGCTTTTTTTTTTTTTTTGTATTTTATATGCATTGAAACTCTGCTTTAAGTAGGGAGAGTCTCGTTTTGCCGGAAGATTTTCTTGTGTCAAAGGCCCCCGAATTAGCAAAAGGACGGGGTGTCATATCTTTAAGCATTAGATTTGGGGTAGGTTGAGACTGAAGGTTACATTAAAGGCTAGCATTAATTTTACAGGCCTGATCAATTCCTTTCTCATGTATGGATGAATGTGATGGTTTTACTTTCAGATATTTTAATAGCGTCTACACATCTTGTGATGTAGTTTGTATAATAAGATATGTTTGCTCTTAAAAGGTATGAAGTGAATTTTCAGAGTGGAATAGAGTGTGGTGGAGCATATGTAAAGCTGCTGTCCAAGACACCTGAACAGAACCTGGTTAGTATATCAATTATCTGTATCGTGACTCGATTCCAGCCCTGAAATTCAGTGAAAACTGGTTGATTATGTCCTAAATGGTATATAGCACGTATAAATCCATAAGTATAGTGTTTTTGTTTGTTTTTTTTTTCTTTTTTTTTATGGCACAACTTGCCAACAAGTGTCTTTTGACCTCAATTTTGTGTGTTGTACATGTGTATATACTCATATTATCAACTCACATTTTGTTTTCAACAAAATAATCTGGCTATTTGTTTACATGTATAGCACAAGTAACAAATCAAATGGATAAGCAGTAAGTTTACCATCTGTATCACATGTAAAATTCACACTTACCCTGGGTTAACATCTAAGTGTATTCTGCAGCATTTTGCAGAAACACACTACAGTCAATTTAACATGATTTCCTATGGAACACGTTCACATCTCAGCGTTTTCAAAGCGTTTTGGAAAGGTTTAGGAACTTTTTTTAATGCAAATGTGTGCTTTTGGTTCTATAGACTTCAATGGAAATGCTGCAGAAAAGCACATATTGCATTTTTTATGAGTTTTGAGATTTAAATCTGCCTAGCAACAAATTAAAAAAAAAAAAACATAAAAAATGTGGCAAAAACGCAATGCAGAAACAGATCAAACGTACACTGCATAGGTGTGAACCTAGCCTTACTAGTCTACTAATAATGTATGCAAGTACAATGGAAATTGCGCTGTTTGTGTTTAAGTTGAACTAAAGGCAAAGCTTTTCTTTTCATTTTCTATAGAGTAAGGGAGGGTTATAACCCCTGTCTTTGGGATAAATTTTCCTTCACTTCCTCTCCCATAGACAAAACAGGAAATGAGTGCTATTTCCTCCAAAGTGAAGTGATTATGGATGTAACCAGGGTCAACAGAACTGATGTCCCCATGGGAAGATTTTCCCCTTTTTCACTCTTCTAGGGAGAGGAATTTACATCTCTTTGCAGATATTTCCTCTTACTTTGTGTTGTGTCTTTAGGACAAGACGTGAAGGGATATCTCCCAAACAGAAAATAGTCTTGAATTCAACTCTCAACAGGCACCATCAGCAAGGACTTGGTCTTGCAGCCCAAGAACATACTGATAGTTAGAAAAAAGTATATGTATAGGCAAGACTCTTTAAATTTTGGCTAGTGTAGGCAGAGATAAAACTAGTCTTTATTGTTGTATGGCCACAATGCTATCTAACAGCAGGAAAACTGTGCTTTTGCATTACCTCAGTTGTGCTATAAATTGATTTTGTTCCCCCCAGGATCAGTTCCATGATAAAACGCCTTACACCATTATGTTTGGTCCTGACAAGTGTGGAGAAGATTACAAGTTGCACTTCATTTTCCGTCACAAAAACCCTAAAACTGGACAATATGAGGAGAAACACGCAAAGAGACCTGACACCGACTTGAAATCCTACTTCTCTGACAAGAAGACTCATCTCTACACACTAGGTTGGTGGTTTACTTGGATGGTGCACCATAGACAATGAAAGGCAATTTTGTGAGCTAGGCGTATCCCAATCAATTTTTAAGGGTTGATTGCATTACTGTTAGATCAGATGTTTTTTGTTTTTTTTTGGTTCTGAAATAGGATGGCTGTGTTTTGAATACTAATCCAGTAGATAAAATAGACATTGCTATTGAGTGTGGGGTTCACAGAGGTGTTAGTTTCCTCTGAGGAAGGTGAAATGTGCCTTCTGTATAAGAAAGTAAGTCTTGAAATGTTTTTTTTTTTTAATTTTGTTCCCCTCAAGTCTTGTTTTGCTTCTGTTCATTGAAGGATGCAGCCAGATCTTTAGATCCGGACCGATGGTTTGTTATGCCACTTGCAGGAGTAGAGAAACGCAACCCCCCCCCCCCCTTCTTTTCCCCTCCTCGATCTGCACCACACAGCCCAGTTTTTTGCTTAGTACTGAGGAGTTAGGACCTAAAATTGTTCTGACTTTGTTTCCAATTTTTTTGTTTTTCTGTTGATGGATTTTGGTTAGCACTATCATTCTGATTAAGGAGTCTCCCTTTCTCAGGGACCCATCAGATAGGAAGGCAGAAAGTGCTGCATGTTTCATGTATACAGGTACAGGAGCCTTCATTTGTCCGATTCTGTCATCCACTTTGGTGTCTCAGACACTGAATAAGCTAAACTGGTATGCCAAGGTGTGGCTTCAGAACAAGTCTCTCCTTTGAGGATTAATTTAATTGTTGAGCACCTACAGTGCTCTCAGTCAATCCAGGATGTTAATAAACCTCAAACCTGAATATTTTAAGAAAGTAAAAGTGAGGTTTTGTCTGTATTAGGAGAACGTGTGCACAATTATTGGGCAACTATTAGTGTGCATAATTATTATACAACTAAGTGAAAACGTACATTTTTCCATCTCACTTGCTTATTGTCATCTGTTAAAGTGAGAATAATAACTCAAAATGTACAAATAAACATTTCTGACATTAAAAAAAAAAAAAAAAAAAATCTGTGACCAAAATAGCCACCCTTTTTTTCAATAACAGTCTTAAGCCTTCCATTCATGGAGTCTGTCAGTTTCATGATCTGCAACAGCAACCACAGCCTTCCAGACACTGTTCAGAGAGGTGTACTGTTTTCCTTTACCAATAAATCTCCCATTTAAGAAGGGCCCACAGGTTCCCAATAGGGTTTAGGTCAGGTGAGGAAGGGGGCCATGTCCATTATTTCATATTTAAGGCTTTTACTGGCTAGCCACACAGTGGAATACTTTGATGCATACGATAGAACATTGTCCTGCATAAATATCATGGTCTTCTTGAAAGATGCAGGTTTGTTCCTGTACCACTGCTTAAAGAAAACCTTCAACCATCTAGCTCATCTTTAATAATACCAGCCCATACCAGTACCCCACCTCCACCTTGCTGGTGTCTCAGTAGAAGTAGAGCTCTGTGCCCGTTACTGATCCATCTACGGGCCCATCCATCTGATCCATCATGAGTCACTCTCCTCTCATCCGTCCAAAAAATCTTTGAAAAAAAATCTCTTCAGATATTTCTTTCCCAGTCTTGACGTTTCAACTTATGTGTCTTGTTCAGTGGTGGTCAGGTTTCAGCCTTCCTTACCTTGGTCATGACTCAACACCTTTTTACTTCTGCACATTCCAGGTAGTCATCAGTTTTGGAATATGACATAACAGAAGAAAAGACACAGCGCCTCTAAGTGCAGATTGTTTGGCAGTTTATTGTATAAAAAGTAAGCTTATCTACTCGCATGTAGTTTAAGTCAAAAAGGCTCATAGGAATCAGTATGTGTAATGTCTATCGCCAGATGTAGAATGCAGCGCAGGAGTGAGTACCGGCCGGTCAGCAGGAGGCGCTAGCTGTGCATGGAAGGCCAGGCTGAGTCTATGGTGTTTCGGGGGCTACGGCGTTGGCTTCTGATGTCATCAGGATGCGACGCGTTTCTGAGCATGCATGGGGACCGATGTGTACCGGCGTGCTCTTTCATCAGGCATAGTTTGAGTAATAGGAGAAGGGAGCCTTATATGGGACGGAAAACAAAGTGACAGACAGGGAAAGGGAGGGAGGAGAAAGAGAACGATCCACAGAGAGATAGCAAAAACGGTGTCTGTCTGAGCATCACAATTGGTTATGTGGGGAGATGGTCTCAATATCCTATATAAAAAATAAAATACATAAGAAAACAATGCATAAAACACAACACAATATAATGTATAAAAGCATAATGGAAAATCATAACAAGAGTGAGGGGGAGGGTACATATAAATTACATTAATACTAATGGTATAATAAACGGGGATACTGGATAGACATAATGTATGCCGCTGGGTTAATATTCTACGATCCACAATACTAGGATAGGTTGATAGATAAATGAATGAGTAAATAAATTATGAACAAACAATGAATAAGCTCAAAAATTTAAATCACAGATACTTGTGCTGGCTATAAGGATGAGCTGATATAAATATTAGTATGGATGGGAAATATAAATACACACCATTGAGGACAAGAGATGTGTGCACATATAAACACGCACGTATGAATCTAGGATAAGGTCGACTATTTGTGTATATGTGCGTACACTTCAATATTAGATTGGAGGATAGGATATAGAGTGATAAGATGGCTAGAATTAGATCATCCTATGTTTTGTCTATCGCTGGTGGTGCTTTAAATGAAAGACCTATCAACCAACTGGTAGTAGGATGTAAATACCCCCAGGTCAAAAAAGGGGGGGGGGGTGTATAGTTCCAAATTAAAGTAAAAAGATGGATATATTGTACAGGTTGGATAATTTGTTAGATTATAGTAGCTATCTCCAGCTCCTCATTGAGGCCGGTTGGAGACAGAGTATCAAGGGCATGTATCCAAAATTTTCCTTGTGGCAGAGCCTATGAAAGTGCTCAGCTTGAGGGAGGTCAGTGGGCATAGCCACGATAACCCAAACTTGAAGTCCAATGGTGGATTTATTGTGAGTTTCGAGAGAGTTTCTGGCAACGCTATGTTAGTCTTTCCCCCCTTCGATTAGGCGGCGGTGTTCGCCAAATCTGGATCGGAGGGTCCAGGTAGTCCGACCTACATAAAAAAGGCCACATGGACAGGTGAGGCAATAGACCACAAAACTGGATGAACAGTTGTAAAAATCACTCAGTTTGTAGTATTTGTTTTTGTGGTTAAAACCCTTTTGGCCATGTTGAACATAGGAACATGTTTTGCCTAGGGCCTTGCGACACTGTACATGCCCACAATGGGAGTAGAAAATAAAGAAGGTGCAGGAGTGGAGTGGACAGATTTTAATTTGTTACGGGCTATTTTATTTTTTAGGTTTGGAGCTCTTCTGTAGGTGATAGTGGGTTTACAAGGAATAATATCTCTCAAGTGAGGGTCTTTCAAAAGGATGTTTATGTAGAATGTTTCTCATTTTTCGATTGTTTATTATGGAATCTGGTGGTGAATCTGACTGTGTGGTTGGAATTGTCCATTGGTCTAGTGTTTTTGGGTTTGCCTAATAAATATGAGTTATAGGCTTCTTCTATAAGTGTTTTGGGATACCCTTTTTCTCAAACTTTTCTCTTGAGAGTGATACTTTCTGTGTAATCTGTTTTTTTAGTATAGTTTTGCCGGAGCAGCAAAATTTACTTTTTGAGATGTGTTTTGTATCCAGGTAGGGTAGTGGCAACTTTGATAATGTAAAAAAGAATTGCCTGATGTCGGGTTTGGTATAATTTTTGGCTATGATTTTGCCATTTTCATGACTCATTTCTAAGTCTAAGAAGGCAGGATGATCTGGTTTTTTTTCATATGTGAAAATTAGGCCGAAAGGGTTATCATTGCAGTGGGCGACTAAATCTTCTATAAGGGATGGGGTTCCATCCCAAATGATGATATCTATGTATCGACCAAAAAAGATGAGATGTGCTGCAAATGGGTTATTGTGCCAAATATACAAGTGTTCCCAATAGCCCATGGCTAGATTGGCATAATATGGTGTGAAAAGCCGCTAGTAATGCTGTCCATAGAAGCAACTATGGGTCTACCAGGGGGGTTGTAGGGCACTTGTGTTTTGGGGAGATGGTAGAAGTAGGGGGTCTTGTTAAATGTTTTGCATAAGAAAGAGGCTTCTAATTTTGTAATTATTTCCTGAGATTTAGCTACTACTTGAAATTCAGGTAAGGGATCTTTAAATTTGGTATAGGTATTGGGGTCTGAGAGTAATCGGATAGCCTTGGTGATGTAATCTGTTCTGTCTTGAGGACTATACCCCCACCTTTTAACTGCAGGTTTGATAATATTTGTATTATCAGTGAGGAATTTAAGGGCTTTTTGTCACCGAGTCAAGAATCGGTTATGGGAAAGAGGGGGACATTGGAAGTTGGTTCCTCAACATTGGTCTTATGCGGGGTGGACTCGGGATGAATAGAGGTAGTTTCCTGTGCAGAATCGGAAGATAGTGCTGTTTTTGAAGCAACTCCGGAAAAAAGAGGTGTCAGAGAAGGATTTAGATGGATGTGGATCATATGGATGGCTGGAGCAATGATTGGGATGTACAATGGAGGGATCTATGTTAAGGAGGGATGGTATATCATGAAGACGTTTGTTCCAGGTGAACACTGTATTGGAATTCTAATCGAGGTCTCAACGGAATTTGAGCTTGGTTTTAACCATTAGCCGCCCGGCCAATAGCCGTTTGGCGGCTTGAAAAGCGCTGCAGCTTTCCGGGTCCACGCCATTGGCGTGCTCCCGCACATGCGCCGTTTGCGCTATTGCAGAGCGGCGCAGCAGCGGGATCTGTCACCGCCCGTGCACCTCGGACACGGCCGATGACAGATCCGAGTACCGGCTCCCGTTGCCGGTACCATGTGACCTGCCGCGACCAATCACAGCAGGTCACATGACAGTTGTATACAATGGATGGCTTCATTCATGATGCCATCCATTGTATACTAGTGCCTAGCTGTGAATGGTCA